GCTCTCAGCCGTCGCAGGCGCCGCCACCGGCGCCGAAGCCGCCGTCACGGGCGCCGTCGGCTCCGGACTTGGCACGATCACCTCCTTGGCTTCGAGTGTACCAGGCGCTTCGATGTTGGGAGGTCTGACATCGAAAGTACCTACCATCCCATTATGAGTACCTGATATTGCCCATCGATGAACATGATAAACGTCTGTTAATGTAAATCTAGACTTCTAGATCCAGTTATCCAACATTGCAATAATATTGTAGCATCTAGCATTTATGCCGACTTGCTAATAAATACCGGATTCGATTGCAATACCTGTTTTCATTTTACTTCCAAATCTTTATTATAGGCGCCTATTTTTTATTTCGTTTCGTTTCGTTTCATTTCAGCCAAATGACGTCCACTGCTGGTTTTTTTTTATTTATTTTTATGTTATGTTATCACAAGTATTAATCGAAATATGTTTCGAGTACCTTAATACTGGGGGAGGCCTTATTGTAAAAGTGCTTTTAAAGCCTATTTGCAAAAAATAATGAGTTTTATGATTTTATCCAGTAGTGGAAGTCATTTGGCTGAAACGAATGAACGAACGAAATACTGTTTGTAATAAGGATACTAAAACTTATGTAAGTAGGTAGGCATAATACAAAACGCTTTCTTGAGTAAAGTAAAAGGAACTAGACAGATCGAAGGCTCCTTTGTGTCAGGTACCTACTGATGACAAAGTATCACATTTCCTATTCTAAAATCGAAGTGTTTAAAGTAGGGTTGCCAACCGTACTATAATATATACCTAGTATTGTACTATATTTCGGGTCTGCGTACTATATACTGTTGAAAAAATATACAGGGTGTCCCGTAATGTAACGTCAAGCCGGAACTGGGTGTTGAGGCAAGTTGTGCTGGTTATCAGAAAAATATAAAAAAAAATCTATGTGGCATATTTTAAAAATAATAGGCATTTAAAAAAAATCAAAAAATTCTACTCCAGGTGACGGTCCTTTTACTCGTGTTGCCACAAATCTTCACTTTTTCCACATTTTTTTTTTGTTATGTAACCCTGAATAATGCTTCTCTAAATTGTTATCAAAATTACAAAACCAGCTGCTCCAACTTGGATGAAAAAAATACATTATTCCCAAAAAAAAATATCAAAATAAAAATTTTGCCTAGTTTAAACTGACTGTACTGAAAAAAATTGTACTACGCGAGTGTGGCAAGTGACGTCATAATTTGGCGCATTTAGTAAGGATTCCAAAATGGTATAACACTTTGTAAAATCTTGCTGTAATTGTCGACAATTTTTGTTTATTGGAAATAATCCCGTTTTTAACTTTATCTACCTTGGTTAAAAATATTATTCTAATGTGCCCAAAATTTAAGTTTCTGGTTTAAGTGAGGTGGAGAAGCCATTTTAAAAGGTATGAGCGGGACGGAGAGGGCCATCTTACCAAGCAAGGATGTTATGGATATCCGTAACCGTAACCAAAACTATCGGATATCCGAAATAAAAAAATGTCCATAACCGTAACCGAAACTGATTCAAAAGTTACGGATAGTTTCGGATAAACTACACTTATGAACACTAAGTTGTCTTGTTTCTATCTTTTTTCTGTTCATTTTTACGCAGTTGGGTTTTTGACCGAGGGGCTGAAGGCTCTTCAGAAGCTGTTCAATCCCGTCATCCTCGAAGGAAAAACGCCTACGGTATGGCACAGAAGTGTGGTGACACTCTTCTTCAAAAAAGGCGACAAACCTTGTTGAAGAATTATAGACCCATCTCACTTCCGAGCCATGTCTACAAGCTGTTTTCGAGAGTCATTACGAATCGTCTCGCTCGTAAGCTCGATGACTTCCAGCCTCTCAACAAGCCGGTTTCCGAAAAGGCTTTAGTACACCACAGCAGATTATACAGAAGACCGAGGAGTATAGTCAGTCACTTTGCCTGGCGTTTGTGGACTATGAGAAAGCTTCGATCGAGACCTGGGCAGTACCTACTACAGTTTCTCCAACGGTGTCAAATTGACTACCTATATCGATACATCGAAATGTTGAATGCCACAATGTACTGGATGCGGGCGGCGCAGGACCGGTTGTTGTGGAAATCCTTGGGGGAAGACCTTTGTCCAGCAGTGGACGTCATTCGGCTACGAACGAAAAACGAACGAACGATGATTGAAAAAAAAACCTAACTGCGTAAAAATGAACAGAAAAAGATAGAAACAAGACAACTTGTTCACAAATGAAGACGTAGGCATCATCAGTGACTAAATGTTTTGTTGGTGATGTGTATTTGATGCCTCCAACTGCATTTGTGAACACTAAGTTGTCTTGTTTCTATCTCTTCTCTTCGTTTTGTTAATGAATACTCGAATGCAACCTCTACTTACATCAGGTTTCAATGTTAAAATTGTCAAGTTACAAAGTCGTGTTTATTCTTAAATGTACCTTACAACATACATGACATTCCATACTGTGAAATTTCAACATTGTAAGGTACAGTCAAGCTCGTTTTTTTTAATGTAAGGGACTTGCTATCTTTTAAACTACCCATTTTTCGAAAATTTGGCGTTTATAATATGAAAGAACAGAAAATTCTAAGAAACTTTGCCATAGAAACTATTTAAATCGTAACATCACATAAAAAGATATTGAGGTATAAAGAAAAAAAAAATCGTTTTTTGGCTCTCCTGAAAAGTCGTGTTTTGTCCCTTACAGTAATTGATATTTCCACTATCGATATGCACTATCAAAATGCCAAAATATGCATGCAAATATGCACTAAAAAAGGGCGAAATATGCACAAAATATGCACAATCAAAAAAACATTATTAGAATTAACTTTATTTTCACAATACATAATTAATTAATTATATAGGTACTTATTGGTTGTAATTCTTGTGACAATATAAATATATTAATTCTTGTGACAATATAAATATAGTAAAAAATATTAATAGTGACAATTTAAAAATTATGTCATAAACTTTTTTTTTTTTTTATCCACAACGAGGAAGCTCTTGGCCTGTATCTCACCTGATGGTAAGTGAACTTAAACATGAATTTGATTTATTGTTTGTTAAAAAAAATGAATTTTAGCGAATGTTTTTCGATAATAAAACGCAAATCCAGGAAACGTTTTTATACGACCGGTCACTTTTCGGTCTTCATGGAATGGTCATTCATTTAAATTAAATTTAAAAAAGGAGGTTTCATTTAATGACTGTGAGACAATATTAGAAGTTCTAAATTTACAAGAAAAATTGAGTATCAAAATGGACGACCTATACTCTGAAATAACGATATTGAATGAAATCTTTGCTAAATTAAAAGACTGTAGTGACTTTACTGACAAAAGTACAGGCCAAAAATGGCAGCATATTTTAAAAAATACTGAAAATGACTTACCAAATTTATTTGAAGTAATTTCATTCCTGCTCTCTATTCCCGCCATTGCCCGTCTTCGGCATTTACAGAAAGGATATTTTCGGTTATGAATTCGAAGTGGCGAGAAGAAATAAAACAGAAGTAGTGTATCATTAATAAAAAATGAGCTTTTGATTTATATTAATTTAAAAATTGAATGTGAAAAAGCATAATGACACTTTTATTTTAAACAAAAAACTGTTACACAGCGCAAGAACTGCAAAAAAACATAGTTTTTATAAAAATAAATAATTAAAAAATGTATATTTGTCTATTTTTTTGTTTTTCCCATAAAATACTATATTTTTTTTAAATGTACTATATTTTTTTACACCTTATTTTGGAAAATACTATATTTTGCTGATGAAATGTTGGCAACCCTAGTTTAAAGGCTTGTACGTAAGACGTTTTAGTCTCAATATCGGTGCGTCTCCAAGATCAGACTCGAAACCTCTGGTTGTGAAGGGCGCGGGACCAGCCGTTATGGAAATCCTCAGGGCAGGCCTTTGTCCAGCAATGAACGTTTGGATGAAACGAACAAATGATCCAATCCAAAAGAAACGTTCACTAAATAGGTAAACTCATTTACATTGAGTCTTTGAGACTGTCACAAGCTAGGTGGCAATTACACAGTAGGTAGTAGAGGTAAGTATTTGCTATTGAAATATAGGGCCTTAGGGCGAAAGGCCGTATCATTCTCAACTATGTTTAGGTTTAATTTAAAGACTTTATTCTCATAAGAACATCTGGGGGCACGGCAGTGCCCCCACCAAGTCGAGCAAAAAAGCGGCACGGCCGTACCATCCTTTTCTCGAAATATATTGACTTGGCCATCGCATGAAAACACGAGTAAATTAAATTATTTAGTGCGATGGCCAAGTCAATAATTTATGTAAAACGTTAAAGATTTCCTGGCCTGGACTTGGTATTACATGGATCTCACAACTTTTTACCGTAGAACAACTGAGTTGCGAGACTTGGTTTTTTTGACAAGTATTGTTTTTGATGGGATTATACATAGTCCACTTACAATGAGATAAAAATTATTTCAACTCAAATCAGAAACCGGGGTAATAGGCCAGTTGAATATAACACAAAAATAAATCAAGTTCATACAAAGGGTATTATTTTTTAATGGCATCATTTGTTGCCCAATATGACTGTGAAGGGGCCACTTAGCTTTAAGTGAAGGGAGAGGGTTTATTACAGTAAGATTAAGTATTGAACCAAAAAGGTACGTTTTTTTTTTTTTTTTTTATTAATTGTTCACAAAAGGATACACATCAAATATAAAGATACACATGCCAAACTGCATTACAGTTTGTCGGCAATAGTTCTCGTCCTTAGTTTTTCGGGCTCAGTTGCAATTCTCAATGGTCGATATTAAAAGTAATGTCCTATCACCTGTCTACACTCCTAAATTTTTTTCAGTTTGACCTATTTCGCGGGAAACCTGGACCCAGTCTAGAAGTAGGTACCTACAGTAAAGTTTCCTTTAGGATATTTACTGCTGTCGGGGGACTTTCTAAAACCGACAGGACAAGTCGTTCTGGACTGCTTAAAAAAACTAAAATAAAGAACACATTGACATCAAATGATTTTTTATTGAAACTACAATTTCAGTTCAGGAATAGGTATTTTTTTCTGGCATGTAAACAGACAATGTTTTTCATGTTTCTAAAAACCTACTCCTTACAAAGATGGTACGCCTTCGTCGGGCACGCCTACGTCGGCGGGCTCGCTTGGCAAGCTTGGCAGTCCTGGCACACCTACGTTGTTGGGGATGCCTGGCAGGCTTGGCGCTCCTGGTGTTGGCAAAGATGGGGGCCCAATGGGGGGGATTCTAGGGGCCACTCCGCCGGCGGCGCTCACCTGGCCCAAGCCTTGCTGGGCCAGAGCAGTGACGGAGGCGACCTGCCCGGTGGCGGCGCCGGCGGCGGCCGTGGCCTGCCCCTCGGCGCCCTGCACCGCCGAGCCCGCCGCCGCCGCCTGCCCACCGGCGCCTCTCACCGCCGACTGGACGCCGTCGGCTGACGCGATTCCTAGCCCCTGTGGCGCTGCTTGCGCACACGCCAGTATAGCGAGGATGCAGATCTGCGAAAAGCAATCAATTATAAAATACAATTTTCTTTGAAGGAGCATAATGCTTCATCTCCACCTACAAGGTGGACCGACGACATCGTAAAGGTAGCAGGGAAGCGCTGGATGCAGGCCGCTACCAATCGATCAACGCGGAAAGCATTAGGGGAGGCCTATGTTCAGCAGTGGACGTCCTATGGCTGACATGATGATGATGATGATGAATGCTTCATCATCATCATCAGCCACTGGACGTCAACTGCTGAGTTAACTGAACAGGCCTCCCCCATCAATGATTTCCACATCAGCCGGTTGGCAGCGGCCTGCATCCAGCGCCTTCTTGCTACCTTTATCAGGTCGTCAGTCCACCTTGAGGGTGGACGTCCCACACTGCGCTTTCAGTATGTATAGGTAATGTACTTAAGTATGTGATAATCATATAAGGAAGGCGCTGGATGTAGCTCGTTACCAACTGGGCGATGTGGAAATAATTGCGTGTCTGCGACCCAAAGAGGCGAGGAGTATCCTGGATAGCAATATTTTAATGGATGAGATGTATGGAATGAAATAATGGATAAGATTTCAAGTTTGGATCGTTGAATCACATCGTTACATCGCAGGTTTGCCCATGATGAAACACTGCACCAAAATTAACAAAAAAATACTTTTTCAAAAAGTTCACAAGAAGCTGGATATTCACAGTCCGTTAAACTGGTCAGTTGAACTGTCGTCTTCAACTCTCCACCCAAAAAATTTACAATGAACAATGAATTTCAACTAAAGATTTCACATACACGGTCAGTTTTTGTTTTTGGCATGTAAGTAGGTAGGTACCTACAATACAGTTCTCAACTGATCAGTTTCAGTGCCAATGAAAGTCCAGCTACTCGTACATACAGTTACAGTTTGAATTATATTTTAAGTTGTCTTACCGAAATGATTTTCATAGCGAAGCCGGCGGTCTTCAGCAGTGTGCTGCAGGGACCAACAAATGTCCCTTTAAATACTGCACTTTCACACGACACATCCAAGTGCACCAGTCGTTAATAATAGCGTGAGCAAATAACTGCACTTGTGCAAATGTGCATTGGAGTAATAAATAAGTCAAGCTCTGTTTCCTAAACAAATAAATTCATTTATTTGCTCTAAGTTAGGCTTCTAAAGCGCATTCAAAAATACTAACATCAAAATAGAAATAATTTTCTTTTCTAAAAGCTAGTGAACGCCTGACCTAAGTAGCAAGAACGTTGGATCATTGTGAAGTTTGGTTCGTCGTGGCTTTGGCAGCTACCCTAAAATGCTTTTCTAATAAGGGGCTGGAAGTTTGTACACGGGGTTGCCAGGTCCAAAAACACAAAAGCCGGACTCTGAGCTTCATTTGGCCGGACATCATCATCGGTTGCCCAATATCCTGATGGTAGCTCGATTTTCGCCTGGCGCGGCAGCCACATGATAAAAAGCCAAACATGGCTAAAGCCGGACACCTGGCAACCCTATACGACAACTAATCCCCATCGTGAACAGTATCGCGGATGCAGACGCCTTGGTTTGGCCGAAGCTGAAGAAAGTTTCCGTATCTGTATCCGCAGATCTCTCAATAAACCGTATTTCAACGATCTCCCATCTGTGCAGGAGTAACTAGGGATGTTAAGAATAAGTAGTTTTGGTTATAGATAATGGTTACGGATAATAGGAATAATAAATTATACCGGTTTCGATTACGGTTACGGATATCCATAACACCCCTGCTATAGTCCACTATTGAGTCACAGTCATGTTGGTTGAGTCTGCCTACGCTCGCGCGTTTGTGTGCGCAGCCGGCGCCGGCGCATCATCGGCACGCCATTGCGTCGGTTACGTTTCACATAAAAATACTTATTGACGTTATTGTTTAATGTTTCATTATAAGATATTAGATATTGTTATAAAATTAGCATTGGTTTACTTTACACCTATTGACACAATATGGTAGAGCTGTGTTACGGAGTAATCCGAGTATAAAATAAAATAAGAAAAAAAAACAAACAACTAGAATCAAAAATGTTTTTTCAGTTCAGGACTTGGGTATTTTTTCTGGCATGTAAACAGAAAATTAATTTATTGTTTCACATTAAAATTCCTTCTATAACTATCTAATCTATCTAAACCTACTCCTGGCAAAGATTGTAAACCTACGCCGCGGGGCACGCCTGACGAAGGTCGGAGGACCTGACTCGGAGGTAACCGAGGGGGGGTCTGGGGGTCACCCGCGCCGCTCGCAGCTGCGCGCTGCTTTCAAGCTCGAGTTGCAGCGCCTGCGCCGACGCCTGCCACGCCAGTATAGCGAGGATGCAGATCTGCGAAGATACAATTTTATTTGAAGTACCTACTTATTTTTTTTTAAATTTATTGTATGAACCACAAACAAGTTTACAATAAACTTAAACTAAAACTTAAGTATATGAAAAAAGAAAGAAACTTTAACAATTGTAAACTCAACACCGATGGTTACATTTTACGTGAAATGGAAATAAACATGAAAATGCGGGTTAAGTTCTTATATTAAAACTTTTAATTCAAAAATAAATGCGTGTTCGCGAGGCAAAAAGAGGTGCAGAGTTCTTTCGTTTCAGCCAAATGACGTCGTGTCCACTGCTGGACAAAGACCTCGAGTAGGTAAACGGGTTGATAGTGCACAATGAGTTTCAACATAAGGTTTCACACATACGGTCAGTTTTCGGAGGTTGTTACAATTGCATTAAACAATTTTATTTAGCTCACTGAATAGATTTTCATGGCGGAGCCGGCGGTGTTCTGCAGTGTCCACTCTATACTGTGCACACAACACCTCTCACGCTGAAATCGATCAAGCTGTTTAGGCTGTAGAGCGTGCAAAAGATAAATATTACGGTAAATGTGATAAATGTGAAAATTATTAATAATTAGCGGGTATTATGACTAATTACCCCATGATTGGTAAGTGTGATTAAAATGAAATCATTTAAGTAACTATGCTTCCAGGTAAAAAAGTTGGACCATCATCAAGTTTGGGTCATCGTGGCTTTGGCAGCGACCCTAAAATGCTTAGACAATACCTCTAGCATGAACAACTTTCGTCTTCGAATCGCTTGCGTATTCGACAAAATTCGATACTCAACATTTGAATGAAAAGATAAGTGCGTGACCATTATTTTGATTCTCAAAATAAGTTTCATGCCACCATTATTTTCTCATACTAAGTTCACTTTACGACACGTTCGCAAGGTGGCGCAAACGATTCGAACTCGAAACTTTTTCGTGCTAGGCGTACAGATACCTTTGACCGCCAGAACTCCTTGCCAGAAAAGCTCTTAGTCCATACATTAAGATCCCAAAGCTGTCTGTTAGCTCTGCTGTCGAAAGCAAGCGTGTGGGGAAGGAGCAATAACCTGTTAATATAGGTACTACTTACTTAGTCATAAATAAGACGCAAATGCTGAACAGCTGAAAGCGAACAAAAGTGAGCCTGTATGAGTGTGAAATTGAAATTACATAGATGTGGTGTTAAGTTATAAAAGCAGCCGCTGTCACATTCTGGGCTGTAGCCAAGCACCCACGCGGAGACCGGACACGATGAGGCTTGTGCTGGTAAGAACATCTTTTCAATTAAAATATTTAAAGCAAATGAAACACTACACCAAGTATGCATTGGATTCATACAGACACAATGAGTGGTGAGGGAACACTAGACGAAATATTTGCAATCAGATTAGTTGGGACATAAGACATTGTACACTTGAATCAAGCAGTTTGTCTGAAAATTTACTCTAATTTAGCTGTGTTTGTTTCATGTTTGATCAATATTGAGCCAATTAAACAAGTTTTATAATCGTAGTTGACTACACGATAATATATAACGTCTACATTTTGCATATTATTTAACAATACATTCTTTTCAGATTTGCTCCCTGGTCCTGCTGGCGTACGCCGCGGCAGCTCCTCAAAATGCGCAAGCGATCGCCTACGCGACTGGGGACAATGCGTCCGCCAGCGCCGTAGCCATCGCCGGCCCCGCGCCCCCCACGACGCCTGGGGCGTCTACGGCGACCCCTAGCGTGACCACGACAACCCCTGCCGTCACCACGACGACCCCTGCCGTGACCACGACGACTCCAGCCGTGACCACGACGACTCCAGCGCCGACCACGACCACACGAGCAACAAGGAGACCGCGGCCCCGCCGTCCCCCTCCCGATTATCCCTACGGCCCCTCTCCTGACTTCGACGGCCCTCCACCGGGTCGTCCTCGTCACCACCGGCGACACAGATGTGAAGAAGATGACTATTTCTAATTTCCTGACTGATGCAGCCTGCAGTGGGCCACAGTTCCAGCTGCCCATTTCCGTTTTTTCTCTCGCTCTCATTAAATGGTGATTCTTTGCGATAGTACGCGACGACATGACCGGAAATGGGTAGCTGGAACTGTGGTACATACCTAATACGTTTTGGTAACTCACTACAAGAAATGTTTTTTTTTGTTAATCGAAGTTTTGTGTCAAAATGATAATATTATTGTGTTAGAAAAATAAAAGCAATTGTTTTAGAAAATGATTTCTTTGTTTTTTTTTTCAATTAGCTGCAAGTACATTGTGGTTTCACCGTTAAAGACGAAGCACACTTATCAACCCGAAAACGGATCGTAACCGTATCAACTCGAAGCGATCAGTGTGCTTACCATGAGTTTACGTTAGGTGTGCTCGCTAGCGACTGCGTAAAAAAATGACATTTAAATGTATGACATATTGTGCAGCGCCCCTAGCGGCTACTTTCAAGAAATAAAATCTTCATAGAATTTTTTGACGTATTCGCTAGCGAGCTCACCTAACGTAAACTCATGGTAAGCACACAGTACTTATCTTTGTATGTAACTCCGCACTGTAACGCACGAAAACGCCTCGCCTCGCCTCGCAGCGAAAGGCGATACGGGTGTTGATCCCTTTCCGGATTGATTAGTGTGCTATTACCTTTAGTCGGATGATGCTATTGACACGATAGGAGAAGTAGGATAAAAATAGTGCTCTATAGTCACAGAAAGATGAAGCGAACTTTTAGACCACCAAGTCTTTAACCACCTGATATTCCTTTGTATGCATCATTGACGTAAAGTGTAAACGATCACCAAAACACTTGTTTTAGTCACACTGTTATAATGCGTAAATTGTAGCTACATTAAGAAACCATTTGCGCGGTTCTCATTGAGGCAATGTGTTTGTTTTACAATAAGTAATGTTAACCATGACACGATGTCACCTTGATACTTGCTGCGACGCATATTGTGGTACCTACAGGCAAGCGCAACGCAAGCGGATAGGATTGAAAAGACCCGAAGAGAGGGTTTGAAGTATGATCGTTTCGTTTCGTGCAAGCAAAAAGTAAATAAGCCGAAGGCGTAGAGACACAATGACCAGCACGGGTCACCACCATCATTTGATGAGACTGGCCTCAGAACATAATATAATCTACTAGCTTTACGCCCGCAGCTTCGCCCGCGTGGAATTTTGTCTGTCACAGAAAAACGTTATCGCACGCGTCCCTGTTTCAAAAACCGGGATAAAAACTATCCTATGTCCTTTCTCGGGACTCAAGCTATCTCTATGCCAAATTTCATCAAGATCTGTTGAGTGGTTTAGGCGTGAAAGCAAGACTGATAGACATACAGACAGACAGAGTTACTTTGGCATTTATAAACATTAGTATCGAATATCGATGTTCTATAAGATCCGCTATTCCCACGGCCCCCCATTGAGAGGAGCATGTTCTTTATCATTTCTAGAACCTAAAGGCACTGTTAACATGGCGATAGATGGAACACCTCGTTTCTAGTGGGTTCGGGAATGATGAGGACAAAGGAACAGTGTTGTTTGACAATTGTTTTTCCTTATGGGATACACTTTGCATGTTCCACCTTCCCTACTTTTCTTTCTTTTCTTCTTTGCTTTGATTATTCTATGGGCATCATAATTCAATGACGTTAGTTCAAATAGATAATGCGTCAGTTAGATTGACGTAGTTACATTATTTTAATTTAGCGTGAAATTTTTTCATAGAATTATGCAAGAAAACATACATGATGTCTTGTTTGTCCAGTTGGATCGCTACAAAACATTTCATTGACAGTTAATGTTAATTTATTTTAGACAAAGAAATTTGGTTACTTCTGAGTATCACCTCATGTTTGCAGAGCAGCGAACCAAACAGAGTGCAGGCTAACCTAGAGATGCTTCTAGCACTTAAAATTATTAAGGTTTTCCGTCAATGTATTAAGTACTTATTGGAGTAGAAAAGCATGACAAATTGGCATGGAACTTCTATAAAATTGTATGGTTTAAGTTTTTTTTCATATGCTCAATACAAGGTCGGCTCGACCTTCCGATGTAACGTTTAATTTTTCATATTGCGTTAATTTGCTATCGCCATGACGTGCCTACATTGTAAAAGTTAATATAATAAATTAATTCTGAATAGAAGCTATTTGTTTAGTTGCATTTACATTGCAGTTAATGTTTGTTCGATAAAAACAAGCACATAAATATTGTTGTTCAGGAGCGCGGCACAGACGCGCGGGTGAAATGGGACGTGCACACTCAGAGTGCTAGAAAGACGATGGCCGCCTTCGCAAAGACAGTCTTTATTGTGGCGGTAAGTCATAAAAATCCATTATAATCAAATTAAAGAGATAACAATAGGAACATTGCACGTCGTCGCTATACTAGCGAGAGCGTCAAAAATGTATGAAAATTTTAGATTGAAGATACTGCACAATCCTCATACATTTCATGTATTTTTTTAGGCAGCCGCTACCGTTACGTTTGCTTGGTGTAACTCGCACGTACAGATTTTTAATAAATAATCGAGAATATTTTTTAAATTAAATAAACAAGTAGATGGAATAAAATCTGCGAGAAGCTTCCAAGAGCTTTTGTGACGGGAGACTTAAGATTCAAAAATATAGATCGTTTCATCCACGAAGACGCGCCCCACCAATTTTTGGTGCGGGGAGTTTGATCCGAGCAATCCGAGCGTCATTATTATAGTGTGCGTGTGCACTCATGGATAATTTAGCGTGTACCGATAACACTCTAACATTGGTGGAAGAATAGTTTTCGTGGATGAAACGATCCATAATAATAAGTAGGTATACCATACCTACTGTAGTTTCGAATTCCGTTTCAAAACTCAGTGAAAAGAGGTTACGAATCTTTAATAGTGAATGTGCAATTTAACTAAGAAATAAATTTTCTTCGACAGTTTAGCGCTAGTCTGCTGACCGCGCAGGCCGCGCCGCCCACGATATGGGACCTGTTCAGGCGACCGCCGCCCGCGGGGCCCCCCAACGTGCCGCCCGCGGGGCCCCCCAACGTGCCGCCCGCGGGGCCCCCCAACGTGCCGCCCGCGGGGCCCCCCAACACGCCGCCGGGCCTGCCCCCGCCGCCCCCGCCCGACCCCCCGGCGCCCCCGGTTATCCCGCCATACTCTACCACCACCACTACTGCTGCGCCGACAACAACCACGCCCGTTCCTACGACAACAACTTCGACTTCCACTACAGCAACAACAACGCCTGTCTCTACGACAACAACCACGCCAGTTACGTCAACAACAACGCCGGCTCCAACAACAACTACGCCAGTCCCCACAACAACCACAACAACACCGACTCCCACTACAGCAACAACGCCAACTCCTGCGACAACAACAACGCCAGTTACGTCAACAACAACAACGCCAGTTACGTCAACAACAACAACGCCAGTTACGTCAACAACAACAACGAAAGCTCCAACAACAACAACAACGCCGGTTTCTACGACATCAACAACAACTACTAGTACTACTCCTGCTTCTACGACATCAAAAACAACCACTAGTACAACTCCTGCTCCGACAACAAGTACCACGACTCCTGCTCCAAAACCAACAACGACTACGCCCGTCCCTGCAACCACTACACCTGTCCCTACAACCACCCGCACCACGTCCAGCCCCGTCACCCTGCCTAGAAGGTACCCGCCTAGAAGGTACCCACCCTACGTGCCGCCCTACGTCCTCCCGCCTGTCTACCTCCCCCGCCCGCCTCCCGCAGCCGCCGCCACCGCCTACGCCGGTCCCGGAAGAGCGCGCGCCTACGCCGCCGCCAACAACATGTTGGCGTGGATACCCGCGTACTTTAACTTGAAATAAATGTTGCGAGAAATTTTTTGGTTGTTTTTAATAACAATAATAAAAATACTTCATTATACATGTCAACGTGAAATTGTAAACTCTGTCAGTTTATAATATAACTCGTTAGATTGTAAACTAACAGTGGGTTAGGTTAGGTTAGATTGTAATTAAACTACGTCAGATTATAATCTGTCGGAATTCACAATTTTACGGTTACATACACACACTGAAAACATACAATAAAAATTAAAAAGAAAAATGTGTGTTAAAATGGCGCCATAAGCCATTATAATAATACACTTTTTTCTTTTTAATTGGGACACCTTGTTAGGATGTCCCGACACTGATTTTCAGCTGGAAACCCGTTCGTTATTGTCTTATTGAATATTTTATGTCTGCATTTCCGACGATAAACGTAGCAGGAAGGCGCTGGATGCAGGTTACCGACCGAGCGATGTGGAAATGGTTGGGGAAGGCCTATGTTCAGCTGTGGACGTCCTGTGGCTGAAATGATGACGATGATTTGATGTCTACATTTAAGTTACTGGTTTTGATTATAATAAAAAAGGAAAATATGGTATCCGATTACATTGCTATAGAAAATACAGACATACACTTGAAAAACATAACTCTCCTTTTGGCATCGGGTAAAAACTAAGCCCAGACAACATGGCGAATGTCAATGTCAGTGAGTGGAAAGGACAGTGCCAATCCATGTATGGAAGTTGGACCATGTGCTGCCCAGAATGAAACCATAGTGCATTTTGTTCCTCAGGCCAATACTAATTTTGTAAACCGAAGCGCACTGAAATCTATCCCTGGAGTTAAGAGAAAAAAAGAGTTTTGTTTTGAATTATTTACATACAAAACATCATCGATGTACACGTACTACGCATAAGATTTCGCGATTGTGGCATTAAATAACACTCGATATGTTGAACTTAACCATACTGCATCCGTACACCTTACTTTAGTACGACTTCGACATTCTTTATAAGCGATCAAGCGCTGTTGCAGTAGTTTGGTTAGTTGACAGAAATTAATTATTTCCAAAATGGAGCAAGAAGTTTTAGGTTAAAATAACTTTAATAATCGATTGTAATACACCAGTAAATTGAGTTTTTGCAAGGATAGATAACTAAAACTTCTTGCTTCATTTTGGAAATAATGAATTTCTGTCAACTTACCCAACAATTAAAACAGCTCTAGATCGTTATAAAGAATGTCTAAATCGCACTAAAGTAATGTGTACGGATGCAGTATGTTTAAGTTCAATATAGCGAGTGTTATTTAATGCCATAATCGCGAAATCTTATACGTAGTACGTATACATCGATGATATTTTGTATGTAAATAATTCAAAACAAAACTCTTTTTTTCTCTTAACTCCAGGGACAGATTTCACTGCGCTTCGGTTTACACATTAGTATAGGCCTGAGGAACAAAATCCACTATGGGTTGATTCTGGGCAACACTTGGTCCAGACCCTGGCACTGTCCTTTTATTTTATTTAGGTAGGTACATGAAATGTGATGCGTACACTTTTTAAAAAACAAGAAGTGTCTCCCACGCGTGGGGTCGTGTGTATTTGACGATTATGCCGTATACATAGATCTTCCCTTACCCTTTTTGTTACAATCTAAGTTATTTTTACACTTTTGGTACAGAAAGACTGATCCCATCAAAAACATTTTCATGAAAAATGTTGCTAAGACGAGACACTAATGGATGCCATAGTGAAAGAGCCAAGTTTCTAGCTCTACAAGCCGTCACATACCAAATCGTCACATGGTAAAGTGAAAATGTAGCTTTAAATACCAATATATAGGTCTCATTAGTGGTGGACATTTGGACCACTTTTGGTCATTGTCCTTTTACTAAAGGAAACATTCCTTTATTTTTGAAAAGAAAGAGAACTGCATTCAACCTACCTTTTCATTACTTTTCTGTTTTACAACCGTACCTACCTACTTAGTTCCAATAGTAACGAAACGATCAATCAAAGGATTAAATAGTTTTTTTTACAAAATTATTAGGTAGTTACTTTTGGCGCAAACTATACCTAACTAGTTTTATTAATGTTTATTTTGCATTGATGTTGCATCAGCGCGATGACGACAGTGCACGCACCATCTGGGTAAACACCAAAAACTTTTTAACAAGAATTTGTAATTTTAACAAGTAGGTAATTATTTGCATCCAAGAATGTAACTACGGCTCGTGTAAGTTTAGGTTTAATAAACTTGAAAGTATTAGTAAATGAAGCACTTTACGTTACAGTACAGCCTTGGGGGAGGCCTTTGTCCAGCAGTGGACGTCATTTGGCTGAAACGACGACGTTACAGTAACCACAAAATGTAAAATTAGTAAATAAAAGTAGTAGATTTTACACAATATTTATTATCTTTATTCCATGGCCAATAAATAATTAAAATTAAAACATGAAAAAAAAAACATGGCTGAATAATAATGGTTACCTTTGCCTGTACGGTCAACAATTTTCAAACAAAAACCGGTAATGATTGGCGGGTGGATGCTAAACTCTCGGATAAATAATCTGTGGCATAGAATATCTGTGGACGAAAAAAAAGATAGATTTTTAATTCGTTGAGAGGTGGGTGATTAATTTTTAATTTGCTGTAAAATTTCTGTTACTTGTTAATAATTCGAGATTGATTCAAAAAGGAATTTAATTATTCTTGCTTTCGATGTTTTCAGATATAATACGCGCGTTGCGAATCTACGTTATTTTAAAGCTGAAAGTTTGTCAGCGCCTGCTCCCAACATGTAAGAATGTTGGTGCATCATGAAGTTTGGGTCATCGTGGCTTTCTGATGAGGAAATAACATCTAATTATTGCTATAAGGTAAGATTGTGATGAATATTATTACTCAACGTTTGTCAGTACACGAGTTATTTTTATTGCGCGTCGTCTTCTTTTATCCTCATGGGTAGTTACTCATACAATTTACTGATAGTGATGAATAAATTAGTACTTTAGCTTGTAGGGCCTACTTACATAAAGTAAAAATACTTAAAATTGTAACATGACCACAGCATTTTCATTTCGTAATAATTGCACCGCTAATTTTACGTTTAAAATGCGTTTTCAGGGTGGCAAATTGTCGACACGTCGCATACGCTCCTGCTCCGAGCGATCTGATCCGGCGGTACCTCCGAGCTTTGGAGAATGCACTAATAAAAAAGTCTATGTAAGTATTAACGAAGTCTTAGGCTGAGTTGCACCAGCTAACTTTGACCGTAACTATAACAATAACCGGTGTTTTTGTATGGAGTTTGACAGATTTGTGACGTTTGTCAAAGTTAAACATGGTGCATGCAACCCAGCCTTTTAAGACGTTTTTACATTTTGAGATTTATGTAGTTAGTTCTCTTGCCAATTTCCGCCGAATTAAAATTCATCATTTCAAAACAGTTTATTGTAAAAAATAAAACCGACTCCAAAAAACCTACATTAAAAAGTAGAAAAATAATTACTAATAACCTACTTATTTATTAGGACGAATTAATATTTATGTAGGTATACCATGATTGATACTTCTGGAGTCGGTGCCAAGATTATGAAACATGTAAAGTTTGCCTGCACCGACTCCAAAAGTATCAATCATGGTATACCTACATAAATATTAATTCGTCCTAATAAATAAGTAGGTTATTAGTAATTATTTTTCTACTTTTTAATGTAGGTTTTTTGGAGTCGGTTTTATTTTTTTTTACGAAGTCGAGCCTTAGCTCTTGGTTTACCGTTTCCATTGCTGTTATTATTGCGTTGAATTCCTCTCCCAATCCAGTTAAGAGGTAGCTGATTTTTTCATTTTCTGCAATTTTCTCTCCTGACACTTCTAATTCTCTTATAAGATTGTCGAAATTGGCGAAATATTCTTCTAATTTTCCTGTATGTTTCAAAGTCAATAACTTTCTTCTTAGGCATATTTTTGATATGACCGTGTTTCGTTGGAATGTGTTTTTCAAAACTTCTAACATTTCTTTCGCGCTTGTGCTTTCTTTTATCAGGTTTAAGTGTTGGTCTGTCACGCTTTGGACGATGATACTTCTCGCTTTTGCATCCATGAGTTTCATCTTCTCATCACAGTCTACTATTTTCTTTATATCCAAAACTTCTGTTAGACCTTTTTCTGCGAGTATGCATTTTATCCTGAAAACCCAGTTGTCGTATGCCCCTGCACTCAATTGCGGTAGCGGCGTGTTACTACTTGACATCGCCATTTTTATATTTCACAAATCCGCTTTTTCCCGAATAATCTACAATTAAAACTTTCCCTAACTCTAACTAACGGGCGTCTGGGCCCATAACCTATCAGAACTTGTGTTTCTTTAATGAAAAGACCGATAGTTAGCGAGATAAGCATTTATTATTCGGGTTCTTACACAGACACATCTTGTTCGTACATAGCCGGAAGAGGGAAGAGCGTTCTACCGGAAACAGTTAACTTTTTAATATTTAATACACTTCCAAAGATAATATAATCCTAACAACATTAACCCCCTTACTAATAAAACTTACACGCTCGTTGAACAATGTTTTAAATTGACGTTTAGTATGGAAATGTCATTTTAAAACAGTGTTCAACAACTGTGTAACTTTTTATTAGTAAGGGGGTTCGATTTTAAACTAGGTACGTTAAAAATATTGCTGTTATCATAAGATTAACAAATTGTTTTTTTTATTTTTTTTTATTATGTTTTGGACCAAACAGGCGTTACAATCACTACAATTAATTTCAAAGAGACAGTTAACCCAGCCCCGAGTTCGATTACCGGGTCGGTAAATTGTAAACAACGGATGTATGCAAAATAAACTTAAGTAATTGAAATGTCTTAAACTTATGGAAATAATTAGGTCAAAGTCGTTTTGTGTAAACCTCGCATATAGAAACAGGTGTGCTTGTATAAGGATAGGGTGTGTTAGGAAAACTAATATTATGTAATCAAAATGTAAGATTGTGATATTTGCTTAGAATATTCTGTGCAAATAATGAATGTGTTGTAATTACATT